GTCTCAAAGTGGGTTCCTCGTCATCGAAAAAAAGAATAGTTACATATACTAATAGTTTTATTTCTAAAAATGAGTTATTATACGTCAAAATATAATCATAAGTATACATCCGTACAAACTATAGAATTGTTTGTGAGAAAAAGACTGCTTTCGAGTGAAAGTGCTTTATAGTGAAGTGCTAACAATGAAAAATTATGTTTTTACATTTATGGGCGTGGCCAGAAAACGATGGACTCTCGAACAGAAATAAAATATACTTGATAATAAAGTAGCATCAAAAACTTCGTGCTTCATCCATAATGGCGTATTTGGGTTTTCCTGTAAAAAATAATTAAATTTAAAGACCTCATTTTATTTAATTTCGAGTTTTCACTTATCATTAAAGTAATGAGAATAAAATTATTCCCTTAAAATGACTAAAATAGCTAGTCCAAAGTAAAGGTAAAACTGGTAAATTTTATTTACACTTTTATACGTATTAGTTTTGTATTCGTCTACTGCCTCGGTGAATCTAATTTTCTCTGACACCTCGTATTCCTTCAAACAATTTAGAAAACGCACACCATCATACTTCTGTCGCTTGTGACCGGCAGAAGAAAGTAGTTGATAAATAATGTGTAAGGCTTAATACAGAACAAGTTGTCAGCCTAACTGTACAGTAATTCGTGCACAATGAAGCTATCATAATAACTTGGAGAAATTTTGTTTCTATTGTAGAACGTTTTTAATTCACACATTAACTGAATTCATTATAAGTACTTCTGTATTAGAATAAGTATCAAAACAAAACCACAATAAACTAATGAACGTATAAAATATTTTAGCTTTGTTTATTGTTCTTGTCTTGTTTTACCGGATGATGGTGGATTGTATCATTACTTTCATCTCTCGGTGGAACAGCGGTAAGCCTATGGACATATAACGCTAAAATCTGGGTTTCGATTCCCTACGATAGACACAGCAGGTAGCCCAGTGTGGCTTTTTTCTAATGCAAACAAACAAATAAAGCGAAGTTTTAACACAGATAATTTCTGAATTAGCAAGCAATTTATCAAATAGGCGAGGTGGCGCTGTTATCCATGTGACTTCTCAGTTTTGGTCATTCGTCTCGTTGCGCCGTTATCGTAGGTTGTAACTTGTTAGTTGAAGAAACTGTAGGTGTAGAAATTTTAGAGAACAGTTTATTGTAGTAAAAATAGATCCACATATTTTTTACCATGAAATCGTTTATCAACGTTGGTCCCGATTGCCATTTTCCTATCCAGAATTTACCATATGGAATATTTTCAACTTCAGATAACCCACGTCATAGAATTGGAGTTGCCATTGGTGACCAAATTCTAGACTTGAGCGTTGTGAAACATCTTTTTGATGGGCCATTGATGCGTGATAAACAAAATGTTTTTGAAGCTCCAGTCTTAAATCCTTTAATGGCGTTGGGCAAAGTTGCATGGCAAGAAGTACGTGCTAGAATTACTGAATTATTATCTTTAAGTTTGCCAACTTTACGAGATGACCTGGACTTGCGTAAGCATGCATTTGTTTCACAAAATGATGCCATTATGCATTTACCGGCTGCAATTGGGGATTACACTGACTTCTATTCGTCTATTAATCATGCCACGAATGTCGGAATAATGTTCCGTGGAAAAGAAAATGCATTAATGCCAAATTGGAAGCATCTCCCTGTTGGTTATCATGGAAGAGCATCATCGGTTGTTGTATCTGGGACACCAATACGACGACCTAATGGACAAACACGACCAAATGATTTAGAACCCCCAATATTTGGTCCATCCAAGCTACTAGACATTGAACTGGAAATGGCATTTCTGACTGGGCCATCAACTGATCTTGGTGTACCCATTCCAATAAACCAAGCCCAAGATTATATTTTTGGAATGGTATTGATGAATGACTGGAGTGCACGAGATATTCAGAAGTGGGAGTATGTACCTTTAGGTCCATTCTTAGGCAAAAATTTTGGAACATCAATCAGTCCATGGGTTGTTTCAATGGAAGCTCTTAAACCATTTTGTTGTGCCAATGTCAGTCAAGATCCTAAGCCTCTTCCTTATCTGCAGCATAGTGATCCATACAATTTTGATATCAACTTGCAAGTAGCTATAAAGCCAGAGGACTCAGAAACACAAACTGTTATTTGTCAGTCTAAATTTAAGTATTTGTACTGGACCATGAAACAGCAGCTAACACACCATACAATTACAGGTTGTAACATAAATTCTGGAGATCTTTTGGCTTCAGGAACCATCAGTGGACCAAGTCCAGACTCATATGGATCCTTACTAGAGCTGACATGGAGAGGTACCAAATCTTTAACATTGGAAAATGGAAGTACTCGGTATTTCCTCAAAGATGGAGATGAAGTTATCATTACTGGTTATTCTCAGGGAGATGGTTATCGTGTGGGATTTGGATCATGCACAGGAAAAATCCTTCCTGCTCTCCAGTTGTAAGTTGCAAATGCATTAAGTTTTTTCATGAAAATGTTTTTGAAAAGTGTGGTGTTTGGTGTTATAATAAAAAATTTGATAAAATATTTTTGTATGAGAATTGATAAAATCTATATATTTAACATTTTGTGAAGGGTATGGAATGGAAATAAAGTTTATAGAAAAGTATGCAATGAGCAATCTCTTAAGTAGTATTTTTTAAAGGCCAGTTGTTTTTCAGTCTAATTTCTTATGCACCAGTCATCAATATTCTGTCTCAACATTAATTAATAATATTACTGGTAACCTAACTGGAATCTTATGTTTTGTGTTTTTTGGTATTGCATCATAAAACTATTATCTTTTTAAACTTGTAAAACTTAGGGTTCTGAAGTATTGGATTAAACATATTCAGGTTATTATGACTATAATTTTTTAAAAATTTTGCAGCTGTACCTTCATTAAAGAAATGTTGAATCTAGTTGCAGAACTGTAATTTTTGCCAATACGTTTCATTATATAAAATCTAGTTTTTGTAAAAGACTCATATGTATTAGTTATATATATATATATTATAGACAATTATGACATACTTAGAAATATCTTTAATATGGAAGATTATTTTAAAGTACACCATCATGTGGATTTTATTTTCATAAAGAGAACATATGGCTAAAACACCATATTTGTATAACTTGGTAAAGACTGTGATTTCAGCAGTGTAGCTTAAGTTTTAAGAAAATGCAACAAAGTTTTTCATAAATAGTTGAGTTATAAGAATATTTTTGAACATTTTTAAAACAAATTTTATCCATAGGAAGTGTCAGATGAAAGGATTTTATTTTTAGAGCCATGTACATGATGAAGATTCATCCCCCACTCTTCCATCCTCATTCTAGACAGACTATATGATGTACAGCTTGTAAATAACAAAACACCTTCCTATGTTATTATTAAAATTATCAATAATAATAAAATAGTTAAAATATAAGTTATATAACTTAGCATTCTGATGTAATCGATTAGAAATATTTAGGTTATAATGACTGTCTCATTTTAAAATAAATTTTATTGCAGCTGTACATTTATCAAAGAAATTTTGAATATAGTTGCGAAACTTTAATTTTAGCCAAGAAGTTTTATTGTATAAAAACACTGCTTTTTGTAAAAAAGCTTCATAGGTATTTGTTACGTATAGATTATAGAAAAAGTTGACTTACTCAAAAACATCTATAATATGGAAGTTCGTGTTTTTTTAAATACATTACCATGTAGGTTTTGTTTCACAAAAATAAATATGGCCAAAGTTAATAATTTCAAAACCATATTTCTATAACTTAGCAAGGATTGTGATGTCAAGTGTAGTTTTAAGAAATTCCAACAAAAATAATATATGATCAAGTTTTAACAATATTTATGTCAAAAATTGAGGATATCAAACTCAGCAATGCGGTTGAATCTGTTTGGGTTTCTGTTAGTTTTTATAAGGAAAGAAGGCTTTTAATTGAAATTTGTTACATGCCGCCAGATGAAACTGATGAAATTAAAACTACAGTGAGATAAAGATCTTGGTTGTTAATGAGATTATAATTATGGGAGATTTTAATTTTTGGCATATAGATTGGGAATTGCTAGAGTCAAATCATGAGGAAGACAGGTTTTACAAACCAGTTAGGATGGTTTTTTCACCAAGAGAGTTGGTCAAGGGGGAAATTAGGAAATTAAAAAAAAAACTATATGAAGAAAGATTATCTGAAAATGTAAAAAAAATAATAGTAAGGATTTCTTTCAATACATTAAGGGCAAGCAAAATGTTAAAATGGGAGTAGGCTCTCTCAAGAATGATACAGGAATGTTAATATCTGATGATTATAAGATGGCTGGGTTATTGAATTCTAATTTTCTTCAATATTTTCGAATGAACATTTAAGCAATATTTTTTTATCCTGAATAGTTACTAGATGGAAACAAGATTGAACAAGATGATCACATTAATTCGGAGCTTAAGAAAAAATTTAAAGAATGATAAAGCTCCTGGGCTAAATGATAATTCCGGAGGGTTTTGAAGGAGAGTAAGGATTGGATGTGTAAGCTACTATTTTTTTTCTAAGTCCTTGATTAGTAGGCAAGTGATGAGAAGTTGGCTAATATTACTCCTTGTTTCAAGGGAAGTTATAAAAATTGTCCTAGTAATTATAGGCCTATTAGTCTTACATGATTGGTAGTAAAAGTTTTTGAAAGTTTGATAAAAGATGCCTTGAAAAGTCATTTTAAAAAATGTAGCATTTTGTTGGATAGTCAACATAGTTTCACTAAGGGAAAACCTTGCCTGACTGATCCTTTTACATTCTTTGCAGAGGTTAGTGCTTATGTAGATGAAAGTGTAGGTGTGGATTTGGTGTATCTGGATTTTCAGAAAGCATATGATAAGGTGCAACATAAAAGGCTTATTAAAAGTTATTTCTAAGTGTGGAGGATAGGTTAGCTCATTGAATAGAAAAACAGGCTGAATGGAAGAAAGTGGAAAATTGTTATAAATGAAGTTCAGTCAAGCATGATTCATGTCACAAATGGGGTACCTCAGGTTCAGTGGTAGGATTTTGCTCTGTTTAATTTACATCAGTGAAATAGATTAAGGAATGGTAAATAAATGATTTAAATTTGCTGATGACAATAAAAGTTTTGGGTGTTACTGGCTATGAGTAGGATGCTGCTGCTTTAAAAAAGAATTTGAATTATTTGATGAATTGGGCAAATAAATGGCTTTTAATTATAACAAATGCAAGGTAATGCATGTGTGATATTGCAGTTTAAATAATGACTATAATTTTGATGGGATTAGCCTTAACAGTGTTGTGGAAGAAGATGATTTTGGTGTTCTGGTTGATCAATCTCATAGGCCATCCGAGCAATGTACTGTGGTAGTACAAATAGAAATTTAGGTTGTAGCTACAGTAATATTGATTACAAGTCTAAAGAGGTCATAATGTCATTATATAGATCATTTATTAGACCATATTTAGAGTAGTGTGTTCAGTCTTGGGCTTCTTAACTTAGAAAAGACATTGAATTATTGGAAAAAGGTTCAGAGAATGATACCAAGGATAAACAGGTTGTGATACAAGGATAGATAATGTTCTCTATAATTGTTTTCTCTTGGAAAAAAAGAAGAGTTATGGGAGATCTGACAGAATAGGACTTATTTTCAGCTAAGACAGTTTTATTTTTCTAACAGGGTGGTTGGTCTTTGGAATGGATTGCTTTCTGATGTGGTAGATGCAGTTAATTTAAAGGAGTTTAAAACAAGACTTGTTAAATATTTGAATGATAATGGCTGGCTTTGAATATTTTACTTTTATTTTAGAGTTTAGTATAGTGGATGAGTTGGCCCAGATGGACCAATAGATCCCTTCTTGTCCTTAACTTGTATGTATGGATGCACATGTGAAGATTTTGCTCCTCAGACTAGACAGACCACATGATATACAGCCTGTAAATGTCAGAACACCTTCCTATATTATTATTAAAATTACTATTAATAATAAAATAATTTAATCTTTCTCAGCAGAAAACACTAGTACCACCAACAGTGAAAAGATTGTGTTATTATTCGATTAATCTGCTATTAAATATAATTAATCACAATAATTCTTGTACTCCACCTGGTCGAAGTTATGGTTAGGTTGGGGAAGTACTGAAGTTACTGTAGAACATAAATGAGCAAATGACATTTATGTTTATTTTTAATTCGGGCCAGTCTTCTATATCTACTTCCTAAAATTCATTGATGTTTAATCCGGGTTAGGCCTTAGGAAAATGTTTTGTGGTTATCATAGTAGCAGTTGAACCTTTAGACCTCTCCTATGTTTTTAAGTAAATCTAATACTAGAACTTTCAACGTTGTTATAAAAAATGTCTTTATGGCATTTTGTCAGTTACTCAAATCATAGTAATTTAATTATCTTAGAAATCTAGAAAAAACTAAACTTACCTAGTTTGAATCCATGCTAATACGTACTTCGTCTATGTTAGAATACATGCATTAAATTGTAAAAACCTAACCTATCTTTTCTATTTCTTACGATATTAAAACTAACTCTCACGCGCTTCTAAGCTACTAAAGGCTCTAATAGTAATAAACAAGAGCCGAATCATCATGGAAACAAATATGTAAATACCCAAGTAGTGGTACTTAAGATATTAATCCGAACCACATAAAAATAGTACAAAGCATTTCTTTCATGATTGAATAATATTTTAATGTAATATATCTTAAGTGTACACTACGTTCATTAAGTTTTTAGGTTAGGTAACACCAATATTCAGACAAAAATTTGCACTTACGGCATTTGTTTATAAATTATAGTTAAACGTATAGAACTGAAAATATAACCCAAAATTAGTAAAACAAATTTAAGTTAAATCAGAAATTCATACCAGAAATTTTCATTGATATGAAACTGAAACCAGTTTTGAAGGTCTCAATTTGCGCAACATGCTAGAATTGCCAACTCGGCGAAGAAGTTCGTGTGTTGTTATGCCCTTTGCCTGCTCACGTAGTCGTACCGAAAGCTGTCCTCGTACAAACTTGTTTTTTCCTGAACCCGTTGGCTATGTTTTGTAAGATTTGGTAGAGAGATGTGAATTTATACTCATCAAACATAATTCAGATGTATTTGGAGACCATTAACGAGCGTTATATTCCAGTTGTTCCTACGATTGCATATCACAGTTTTAAAGTATTTACTTATGTATAGGCTGCTTTTTATATGAATAATTAAAAGTCAATATCAGAAATCTTGATATACTGTAAACACTTTTCCCATTCCTGTTGTGAAAACGTTAACAAGATACTTATCTTTTAATTTTCAAATATTTTACATATTATAATTAATGTGTATTTTTATTTTGTACCTTTTAATTTTTTAATATTTTTTTCATACTGTCCTTATAATTGTACTTCGAACGTATATATTATTGGGTATATTGTTATTTTTTATTACTTTTTAATTTGAATATATATATGTTGAATACATATTTTATATGAATATTTTTAGATAATACGTCATATTTTCAGTTAATTAAACACAATGTGTATTGCTATTTTTGTAAGATATTTGTGGAAAGTTTTATAATAAAAGTTTTAAAATCATTTCTTTGTTGACATTTCAGCAAAACTATCGTAAAATGTTATTTAAAATTATCACTTCACATATAATAACTATTAAATTGATGGCCAACCACAAGGTTTTTTTTCTTTCTGATCTAGATTATTAGTACTGATGCCAAATTAAAAGATTACACAGAAGAAACTTCGGTTTGATACAGCTTTCACGGAGAGGAAATTGATGTTTTCATTACAATATCGTCTTATGTTGTATGGTGGAAACTTCTTTTTGACATGGATTTCAGGAAATATAATTTACATTATCAGATAAGAACAGTTATGTTCATGTTGAAATAAGCTTAATGCATATTCCAGAACCTGGCCTAAAAAAAGGGGGGGGGTCATATTTTTTGGGTCTGTTTGGGCACCCCTCCCATGTATGGTATATTTGTATTTTTGAATGGCTATACCCAATATAATATTTGTAATGGTCAGCAGCATAACTTTTTATATCTTTATTTCTAAATGGTATCGCGGTGACATCTTAGTTGTTTAAGTCAATTGCGATTACAAAGCATTGCTAAAAGTGCAATGGCTAGGTGGTTGGGACGCTGACTCGTAAACTGAGGTCGCGGGTTTGAATCCCGCCGTGGGGGCGTTATAATGTTACGGTCAATCCCACTTTTCTTTGGTAAAAGAGTAGCTCAAGAGGTGGCGGTGGTGGTCAATTCTCAACCGATTATAACAAACTAGATATCAACAGAAATATCTTAATGAAAGCTTCCTAATTTGTTGGGTGTTAATTACATCACAGAAGTGCGTAGTGATGTCAGATATGCTGAAATTGGCAATTTTTGCATGCGCGATTAATTTCATTTTGCATATATATGCATACATACTTACATCAATTAACATATGACATATCGAATTTGGTGTTTTATAAAATGCACATTCCAAAAGTTATTCAAATTTATCTGGATTTAAATTCAGGGCCTAGTTCAGCTCATTGGTTAGCGTGCCGGACTAGGAATATATAGTTCGTACCCCGTCAGGGCCTAGCTCAGCTCAATGGTTAGCGTGCCGGATTAGGAATATATATAGTTCGTACCCCGTTAATAATAATAAAAAAAAGGTAACGAAAACGCACTTTGCACTGTAAAGACGAGGAGGCGTTATAAGAGTGAAGGTCAAATCCAACTGTACGATTAGAATAGTCCAGGCATGGGTTGGCTATGCGTTAGAGTTCTGAATTTCAGAGTTGGCGAGCCAGATTTCAATTTCTGCGATACCACAAAATATTCCTCGCACTTTAAGCTGCGAGAGCTTTTTTTTACTAACATTCAATCCCTTAGCATGGATAGTGAATGGTAGGGCGCTGCTGAAAGACTGCTTTACCATAAATACAGAATAGAATCACGCACGATTTGGCGATTGATGGTGTTCAGTAGACGCTCTTTCTCTAATATATCACATCAAAATTCGGGATGGCTAGCGCATATAGCTCTCGAGTGATTTTTCGTGAAATTCAACAGACAATTTAATTTCATGTATGTCATAATATACACCACTGAGTCCACGTTATCGTCTAAGATCATCGTGTGGTCACCTGACTCAGAAGTATCCATACCTTACAACCACTTCTGCGGTGAGATAGAGGTAGACGTGTATTTCAAGACAAGTACGTCGAATGCTGTGATATGCATTAGTATTAATAGCATTTTACAGCAACTTGCTTAGGAACCATCCGAACACAATAGTCTGACTGGCTTTGACAGTACCAGCTTCTTGAGTGGAAGAAGAAGACAAGGCATAGGTCTGGAAACATCTGGTTTCAAAATATTAACTATCATCCATACAGTATATGGATTATGGAAATCTTCGTGGTGAAGGAGTGTGCTTGGGACATGATAGCCTTACGATTAAGTTATTTGCAATGAAAACTATGCTGTACAGTTATTGTAAAGATTCACGGTCGTCAGATAGAGTATGACCAAACATAGGATCATGAACTGTAACAACGTAAAGAGGTTCCATATCATTTTAATGTAATGTACTAGACCTGTGGTAGAATAATGAAGCTTAACTAGTTTTTGTTCTAAAGCATTAGACAAGGAGTGGCTCAGTGGTTAGCATGCCTGAAATGTAAATCCGACAATTTATAGTTCGATCTCGACATATTGAGGCTGAGTGCACTATAAAGAGTGATTGTCAAGTTCCACTGTTTGACCAGAAATGGGTAGCCCACGAGATGGCGGTGAGTCCTGTTTACTAGCTATTTTTCCAGGGATTCCCAAACTGGTGGTCACAGGAAAGTGTAACAAATACAAAATACTGTTATGGTTCTCAATATCTATGGGCTCATTGAGTGGGGAACTAGTATGGATGCGAAATGTTTTGGGAGGCCTTGTGCTGAGAAAGATTAAAAAATTAAAGTATACATACAACTCTTATGTAGCTTTGTAGGAAAATTCTAAAACAAGGTACCATATAATGTGAGAAACTCCCTATGCATTTCCAGTTCACATAGCTATTAAAAAAGTAGGCACTAATTTATTTGAAAGATTCTATAAATAGGTAAAAACGTTGAATGTTACTGAATATTTATTTGCTGAATGTAATGCAAAATTTAAAAATAAGTTACAATAGTTTCATGACTCTTTCGAGAATATGTTTAGAAAAATGGTATGATAAAAGGAGGTTACCACCAGTTACCTTATTCTACTTTATCGCATACGTGTATACCATCCTTTTTTCTAGGGGGGGGGGGGACATATTCGAAGTCAGTTTATGAAAAACATATCAAAAGTAATGCTTTTGTATTACTAACGAAAAGAATCTACATCAATGTGAAATTACCCGAAATCAATTTTTGAAATGATGAACATTATAGCTAATCTTGTACTGATGAACTTTATAATTGAGAAAAAAAACAAAAAATAAACGTGTTAATGCTATTTAGTTATTAAAAGGTTAAGAGTGAAAAGCAAGTAAAAAATCAAAGTCTGCGGTGATGTGAAAAAAATGTTTTCTAGAGGAGATTTTTTCAGTTGACACATTCATAGACACCGAGAACTTAATATTTTTCATGT